CCCGTGCTCAACGGGGGTTAAGGAAAAAAAGTTCAATGTCAGACTTGTTTGACGCCGGAGCCACGAAGTGCGCGGTTGGGCAGCTCCCTCCGCTCCGGGAATCACCTCACCTCACGTTACTTCTTGTAGCGAGCCCTGCCTGGCTCAACAGGTACACCCAAGGGCGATATGTTAGTTCAGTTAATCACGTCCTGATTAGTTTTCTCCGTGTTCCTTATGTAGCATGCATTGTGCTACATGTACACCAGCCAATTTTTTTCCCCAATTTTTAGATTTCTTTTACCGTGTATATCTCTTCAGTAAGATCAGCAAAAATGAAATTCAGCAAAAGAATATATGACTAATGATAATGCGTGAAAAAAAGATTGTTTCAAGCTGTGTGGACTGGCCTCATATCATCTATTTATGGCAGAGAGAGGATCTGACTTTCTTTGGGTATTATCAAACAACTTTAGCTGTCATAGCACCTTTTTTCTTCTGGTATCCATGGCTGTACACTTTCCAAGTTCTAAACAGCTAAATCATGACTCTCCAAACAGTCTGCTTTACTACAGTCCTTGTTCCCACAGCAGGCTTATTCTCCACAGATGAAAGGTGGTGATCTTACAGAGAAAGTGCAATCAATCTTAATTCAGCATTTCCTGGCTTGCTTGAAATATTTTTTCTTTGTCTGTGCAATTGTCTAGATACCCCTTTTTAGCAATTTGAAAAAAGCATAAATTCCATTGCAGTGAAGTCCACATGGGTCATAAAGCACTGGGGCTTGTAGGTCCAGTGCAGATACATGGCACTTGGGCCAGTGGAGTGACTGATAGCGGTAGGAGTTTGTCATTCTTTAGACCAGCACTAGAAGACCATTTCTGACAGTCAGGAAACTCAGTCAAGTTCCTGCGCTTCCTTCCAGGTTCTAGAGGGGATTGTGTTTTCATAGGCACAGACTTCTGCCTCTCTTTCCCAAGAGTAGTTCCAGCTACACAATCATCTGCAACTTTTTATTTTTGATTCACTTCTGGTATTACCTCCCAAATCACTAGGTCTTGCTTATCCATTAACAGTCTTACTTTACACTTCTCATCCTAGCTTTCTCATCTCCGAGCTTTCTCAGCTTGCTGCAACTCTTATTGCTGTTCACTTTTTTTCACTCTTCTCCACTTTTCACTGTCATTACTTGTCCAGCCAACATCATTTATGTTCCTGATTCTTCCTCTGATCTCTTTCCCTTCATTACACCTTGGATAGCATCCCAGTCCTCATCTCCCTCTCCTAATTCCACATCCTAATTTCTTCACAGAGTTCCTGACATGTTTGGGTTTCTATCCCAGTTCTCTTGATCCGTCCCATTTCTGTTCTTCACCCAGCAGATCCATTTCCCCTTCCTCTTACCTGTTCACCTCAAGCCATTGTTTTGTGGCATGATTAACTGGTTCTTGCTTTCTCCTAGTTCTCTCCTTACCTCCCAATATCAACTCCTAGTTTCTGGTTTCTTAATTTATACAGTCCCAATCTGTTTTTCTGCATGATACAGTTTTGTTGCCTATTCAGTGCTAGTTACAGCTTCTACCTCTGGTACCTTCTACCTTCTTTCCTTCTGCCCTACGTTTACCTGAACTCCTGATTCCAAACTTTCTTTTTCTTTCTTCTGCATCTGAGTTGGAAAGTTCTGTCTTCTGTGCTGCCTGCCAGGACAGTCATTGTGAACTCAGCAGATGCAGGTTCCTTGCTCTTAGTTGCAGGACCACACGGGGAGTGGGGAAAGTCCAATTTTATGCCTGTAGCTATGAGCTGGAGAGATGAACCTACTTAGTGGCTTGATGGAAAGGAAGCACAGCACAGTGTGCACTGGGTACATGGAATTCTCACAAGGTGAATTCTTAAGTGTTTCTTCTGAATATTTATGAATTGTGGTTTTTCAGTTTTCTAACTTAGTAAATATTGGGTGATTAAGTAAATTGAAATAGTTCTGAACATAAACATAGCAATGTATTTTTTCTATAACTGATTTTAGAAAGAATTTTGGTGTAAAGTGAGAGAAAAATGGGGCAGAGAGCATGACAAATTTCAGCCTAAGCAGTTAGCTGGGTCTTGCTGTAAATACTGGATCTAGACTCTCTAGTGGGCAGCGTAGCAGTAAATGATGAAGGCTTGCATGTAATAAGGCACACTGGTATTTAGGCACCTTGAGTCAAAGATCACTCACTGTCCAATGTTTTGTCCTCCGCAGCCAACAACCAAACTCTTCATTGATGGGAAGTTTGTTGAGTCCAAAACTACTGAATGGATTGATATCCACAACCCGGTAAGTGAAGTGGTCTCAGCTTATATATTAGCAATCACTGTGCAGCAAGGATCTGTGCCTCTGTTCAAGCATTTGGTAAAAGGGGAAAGTACATACATTTCTTGAGAAAGGTTTAGACTTGGAGCTTAAGATGGATTTAGCACTGTGTAATTGCTTCTCGATTTTCTTTTCACATGAAATGTCAGTCTTAGCAAAGTGATGACCTCCTTTATCTCCCCTGTGTAGTAAACCCCTGATCTCCGGAAAGGAAGCTTAAACTTGGCTTACATTTTTTTTGGTCATAGAAAGGCTCTGTGATCAGTATGTCAGATTTCTGAAGGGTTTCTTTCACCCTGTATGTGAAATCAACCGGGTGTAATTTGATGCCAGCTGAATGTGAAGCCCTGACAGAGACTAATTTCACTCTCAGACCAAGGTAAAAAATCCTGACAGCTGAAGCTCCTCTCCTTTCAGAGAGCTTCTATCTGTGAGTGACAATATTCACAGTGAATTTAGAGGCTGGATGCTATGCAATGCAAAATAGTCTTAGATTAGTAGCACTTGTACTTGTCTGAGTCCCCTGCCAAAGACAAATGGAAATGAGGTTGCACTCAGAATTCTGACCCCCCTAGTAAGTATTTGGACAGCAGTTTCGAAAACATATCTATGTAAAGCCCTATTTTGATTTGCTTTGTGGAAGTGATTGGAGCAGCGAGCCATGTTCATGAAGTTCATTTGGTCTCTATGCAGTGACGAACATTCTTGTTTAATTTTCTTTCTCTTGAGTAGTTTCTCTCTTAGTGATGTACCTGATGTTTTTGTCATGTCAAAGCAGATTTAATTTTTAAGAGTGCGTTAGAAGGAGATTAAACTGGCAAAGACAAGCTTTTAAAGTTAAGATACTGTAGAACTAAGGTTGCTTGTAAAAATCTTACTTTGACCTAGTGGTCTAGGTAAACTAACATCAGTGCCAATTGCATAGTTATACACTGTTTTTTCCAAAGGAAGCTTGCCTCATTTAGTGTGCAAGAGGGACAGCAAATGAGCCAAGATGATGCAGAGGAAAAAGACCACAGTCCACAGAAACCTTTGCCTTACACTCTGTATAAGCTTCAAGATAGACAAGTCACTTCAACTCTAACTTGGAAATCAGCACTGCATTTGCAGCTTTCTGGGTGCCTAATTTGAGATGTGTGGAGTGGAGGTTTTCAGAACTATTCCAGTTGTAGCCCAGGCCTTTTGTGTGCACCAAGGAAGGAGTTTCTTTTGTGTTGTCCCCTCAGAAGTACAGCTCCTTGTAGAACAAGGATATTAGGTGTGTGGCGTGGAGCATTGAATGGTTGGTAGGGACAGGTAGAGATGAGTTTTGATGCGGTTTGTTTTTTCCTTCAGGCCACAAATGAAGTGGTTGGCCGTGTACCAAAAGCCACGGCCAGTGAGATGGAGGCAGCTGTGGCTTCTTGCAAAAAGGCTTTTTGGAACTGGTCAGAAACATCTGTTTTGAGTCGCCAGCAAATCTTCCTGCGTTATCAACAACTCATCAAAGACAATCTGGTGAGGCACCACGGCTGTGTGTGATGGCTGTTGCTGAATGCATTGCAATTGACTTTAGGAATTAAATTGAGAGACTTGGTGTTTACAGAGTTCTTGATGAGGCGTTGTTGCCATGATTGAGGAGCCAACTGAGACACTGTTGTTGAGAGGTGTAGCAAAGCACTCTCCATCAAATGGGGACAGAGAGGCAGTGCTTCTTAGGCAATATTATTCTGCATTTGCCCCTTTACCAAAAGACCACAAGAGGAACTTTCAGCCTTGATGGAGAATGTGCCAGTTGATAAAGACAAGTGGGACAAGTATGTTACTATGTCTTTGGATTTCCCTGATTGCTTTTTTGGTGTGTCTGTGGTGTGACACCTGAAAGCTGTAAAGGACAAGCCAACCCACGGTTGTTTTTTCTAAAATGTCACTGGTGTGGCTTATTGGCTTCTTGTCTGCAAGGAGCACATCAGTCAGTGTAGGCTTTTGCACGTTCTGCCCAGTCTGTTCATTGTGATGTTCAACTCTCTGTTAAACTGTCTTATCCCTGCACCCTATTTCATGGGCAGGCACTTTTCTAATGTTCATAAACTTCGTGTTTTCCATTTTCAGAAAGAAATTTCAAAACTCATCACCTTTGAGCAAGGGAAGACCCTGGCTGATGCTGAGGGAGATGTGTTCCGAGGCCTCCGTAAGCTGCTGGCTCCTCCTGTTAAAAAAGGGGCTTTAAGAATCCATAGGAAGGGAGGAGGTCTCCTGAGCAACTGATTGCTCTGGTACTCTGTACATGTAGCTCCCTTCATAGCCTCCTACTGAAAGAAAGGGGGAAATTGTAATTCTGACCTGGAAAGTTCCCTTACATAGAGTTTTCTTAAATCACTTCCAAGTTGTTAGATTCTTCCTTTTCCTAGGAGTGACTACAAATTGCTGTAAAGGGATAAGAACTTCTTGCTTGGGCTCAGATGTCTAAGGTACAATAATACTATACCTGTGCTTCTTTTACTGGGGCTGTTATGTCTGTGGTCCTATCACAGTGACATACAATGCACTCAAGAGGGAATCCACTCACAATGAGCTCACAGTGCTTGGCAGAGCAAAGGGATTTTCTGGAGCACAATGAGTTTTAAGTTGTGGGAAAAGAGGCTGGAAGAAAGACTTGGGTCAAGGCAGTGGTGAGAAGGGAGTTCGGGGACTAATTGTTAACAGATCATCCAGTGGCATATTGCCCTTTCTGCTGCAGAGGTGGTTGAACATGCTTGCAGTGTGACATCCCTCATACTGGGAGAGACCATGCCCTCCATCACTAAAGACATGGACACTTACACCTACCGTCTGCCTCTGGGTGTGTGTGCTGGAATTGCACCGTTCAATTTCCCAGCCATGATTCCTCTTTGGATGTTCCCCATGGCTATGGTTTGTGGAAACACCTTCTTGATGAAACCATCTGAGCGTGTACCAGGAGCACTCATGTTCCTTGCCAAGCTGTTTCAGGATGCTGGTGCCCCCGATGGGACCCTGAATATCATCCATGGACAACATGAAGGTAATAATAGCCCTTCCTGGGAGATGGCTGGAGTCTGTAAGTGTTGTATATGTTCAGTGGAGGTATTGTTTGGAGAGTCTGGTACTGCTGCTGTTAGATAGGTTTGGACAGATGCTTCAGCCCTTTTGATGGACATGAAGGGAAGTGACTAGAAGATTGTCTGCCATCTTGCACCAAATTTTTCAGGAGATACGGTGGACAAAATTTTGGGGGCTGGGGTCAGAGTTCCCAAGGCATGTAAGTGCTCAAATTCTCTTTAGCAACCTAAGCTCCAACTGAAGTAATTAGATAAATCATCTTGGTTTCCCAAGGAGGCCTAAACAAGAATTAAATGTCTCACTGAATATACAGTGGATGCCAGTATTCTAGCTCCTAACATGATATTTTTTACAGCATACAAGTAGTTTCAGAACATGAGGATACAAATAGACAACGATAACTTTGCTTTGGCATCGCTCAGGTGCCTTGGGAGATGCCCAAAGCATGAAGAGATGGCAGAGAGCCAGGGACAGGGGCAGGAGTACATGTCCTGAGGAGTTAGTGGAGAGATGCATAGACAGGCAGTGGGGGAACTCAGATGTAGGAAACACAGAGGCAAGAATTTCGGTAAGAAAGATCCATGAATTTAGCACTGCGGGGATGGGAACAGAGGGAAGCATTTGTGCACCACAGTTATAATGTATTATTTCCTATTTGAAGCTGTGAATTTCATTTGTGACCATCCGGATATCAGAGCAATCAGCTTTGTGGGATCTAATCAGGCTGGCGAGTACATCTATGAGAGAGGATCCCGGAATGGCAAGAGAGTCCAGGCCAACATGGTAATGCGTCTGAATGGAGCACACTTCAGCACATAGACTGCCTCTGTCTCCTGTGAATGTTGAGACTTAACGCTACTCAGCAGCAGAAGCTGACTTTGCTACTGATAGTTAAGTGATGAGGCTGCCCTTCTTGCCAGCCTGTTGGTAGCAGAGTCATAGCTACTATATGAAGATATTGCCAGAGAGCTAGAGAAGTGGGCTGGGGTGGTTAATAATGGGAGACTGTGTATGTGTTATATTTCAGGGAGCCAAGAACCACGGTGTGGTGATGCCTGATGCCAACAAAGAGAACACCTTGAACCAGCTGGTTGGAGCTGCTTTTGGAGCAGCTGGCCAACGCTGCATGGCCCTGTCTACAGCAATTCTAGTGGGAGAAGCTCAGAAATGGCTGCCAGAGCTTGTGGAGAGAGCCAAAAATCTACGTGTAAATGCAGGTACAGACTGTGATAATTTCTTATGAGGTACTTCTGTACAACTGTACCTTTTTAGGTTGGTGTATCTGCCTTACTGCGGTGTGTCCCTTGGAGCTATTGGCACCATAGGTTTGATGTGTAGGGGTAGGAGCTAGCAGAATGTCTGGACTGGGAAACACAGCCCTAGACTTGGAGGTAGGAGTATGTAGGAAGGCTTGGCAGTATGACTGTGATGCAAGGTTTACAGGATCGGTCTTGTTTCAACTGGAGCTTTGAGGTTATGTCCTATGTTTAACTCAAACCTACCAATTTGTAGTAAGCATGCAATAAAAAGGAAAAATGGAAACAAGTACTTTGGAAAAACTAGACTGTTATTAATTCTAGGAGAATTATCTTTCATTTATGTTCAGTGAAGTCCTGCAAAGGGGAAAAGTTTCCTTTCTGAGAAGAATCTATTGAATTTTGGCTTCCCGGTGATCTAAAATTATGCTTATGCTTATGACTTCTCTTATTTGTTGATTATGAGAGTTGCACGCTATTACTCCTGTTCATTAACATCTCAGATCTTTGTTTCTCTGTCTCAGAAACGTCAGGATTTTCAGATCTTTTCTGCCAGTGTAGTTATCTCCACGATGCCTGTGAAGAGGAAGCTGTCAGGGTTAAAAACTTGGCATCTCTGCCTCTTCACAGGAGACCAGCCTGGAGCAGATCTAGGGCCTCTAATCAGTCCCCAAGCTAAGGAACGGGTTTGCCATCTGATTGAGAAAGGAGTAAAAGAAGGTGCCAGCCTTCTTCTGGATGGACGTAATATCAAAGTGAAGGGCTATGAAAATGGCAATTTTGTTGGGCCAACAATCCTTGCCAATGTCAAGGTAAGATGACCGAAACCAGTGCTTGATAGTGTATAACCGAAAAACGGGTTACCCAAATCAGTCAGTAATCAATAATCACCAGCTAGAAAGCCCATAAATGGCTCAGCCTTCCCTTGCACAATTCCAATGAAGTGCTCATTGTAATGCTGTCGTGGAGGTGATAAAAGAATTTGCAGTAGTGCAGCATACTCTGAATGAGGTTAATGATCTTAACTTGAATAGATTGCAGCCAATTAAAAGAAGATAGGGGCAGTTTGTACTGTGTTAAACTAGATGTCTGTTGAGCATCCGTCTGTAGTAATGGCCAGCAGCAGATACCTAAGGAAGAGTATGATGAACAGCCAAACTTGAAATTTTCCTTCCTCCATTACACATTCCTGCAGTTTGCAGTTTAAGTACTTGCAGAAACAGAAGTTAAATATTTGTGGAAATCTTCACGAGAATAATACAGGATAAGGTACAAAATCTTTGTTGTTGAACATATTCGCAACTTCATTGAGTCAACCTCTCAACATAATGCATGGTGTGTAACAGATGGACACTACTATGGGGCAATATTCTTTAGCAGGTACATATCCACGTGAGTTTTCATACCTAAATTCATTCTTTTATGTTTATGCAATTAGCTGGTGTGATTTCCTTAACATTTAAGTATTCATTCCTCATGGGCCTTTTGGTGAGTGATTCCATGATAGCAAACCAATCTTGACAATTCTGCTATTGTACTTTGTATTCTTAGGATTTTATTGATTTTATGCTATTACATAATTCAGGCTTTTAATCTGTCTCAGAATTTTCTTGCCTAATTTTCATTAAACATCTTAAAATACTTCACTTTTCTGAGATGTGTCATAAATATTGTTAGGTATTCAAACCCAAAACTTTCACTGAGATTTTGTGATTCTTAGTTTTCTTATACAGTGGTTAATAATATCGTAAGCCACGTAAAACTTATACCTTGTCAAATGAATGTTTTGTAGTTTGCTGTATTAGCTATTAGTGATTAAGGTACTCTCCAACTGGTGGTTTTTTTATGTGTCAGACGTTGCTAATTATCAGACATTAATCCTGGACACTGAGTTGGAAAGGACAGCAGGTTCTAGTCACTTTGTCAACAAGAACTGAAGTAAACTAGCCTGCATTAATCCCCGTCTTAATCAGCCTTGGTCAGAAAAAATCTGTAAGAGAGGTTAGGCAGGCAGTAAAAGCAGAAGGTGCTCTGGAGATGAAAAGTGATGCCCTCTTTAGTGGACGAGATAGATGGCAGGGCATGGGAAATGGTGAAAAGGCAAAGAGGACTGAAGGATGGCCTGTGGCAATGCAGTATAATGGGTGATCCTAGGAATATCCTGACCATTAGCAGCATGTGTGTTTATTATATCCTGTTTACGAGGATATTTTTATTATATCCTGTTTATTATATCCTATATACAAGCTGTTTTTTCTGCTGTTTGTCTTGGCAGCCAAACATGACTTGCTATAAGGAGGAAATCTTCGGGCCTGTCTTAGTGGTTCTGGAAGCAGACACTTTGGATGATGCCATTGAGATGGTGAACAATAACCCCTATGGAAATGGAACTGCAATCTTCACCACCAATGGAGCCACAGCTCGGAAATATTCTCACTTAGTAGACGTGGGGCAGGTATGTGCAAGCTAAAATTGTTCTTAGTACTCACCATTTACAGTGGGTAGCCATCCAGCTGTACTGACTAATCACTCGGCGAAGAGTACCCAGCCTCTGATTTAAGGAAAGAAAATGCGGTAACTTTTGAAGAGTACTCTACAATCTGCTATTTCTTGTGATTAATATGGCAGCTTTCCTTTGGTTTAGGTGGGTGTCAATGTTCCAATCCCAGTACCTCTGCCCATGTTCTCTTTCACCGGGTCTCGTGCTTCTTTCAGAGGGGACACCAATTTCTATGGCAAGCAGGTAACTTACTGATTCAGAGTACTCTACTGGGTTGAATTGTGATAAATCACATTATAAATGGCAATGGGGAGATTGTCATCAGACCTCATGAGTAAGGAGACTTTGAAGCCATCTCAACCAGGAAACCGAAGTCTAGCCAGTGATCACAGCCACCATAACGCATGTTACAGTAGCCAATTCCTTTTTTTTTTTTTTTTCCTTAAATATAAAAAAGCAAGTCTTTTTCCAGGAGATTTAAGAAGGGAGTAAGAACTAAGTAGTAGGCTTTCTCACAGAACCAGCATCTTTGGGGAACTGGTAAAAGGAACAGGCTGACAGGAATTGTTCCCACAGAGGAAAACTCAACCCTCTGTAGATAAAGCAAAAATTGTTTGATACACCACTAGTGGAGACCTGAAGAATTCATAAGGCCAAACATCCGATCCATGTCTCTCTCCTTTCCTCCAGGGAGTGCAGTTCTACACACAGCTGAAAACTATAATTTCTCAATGGAAAGAGGAAGATGCCACCGTTACCAAGCCTGCTGTGGTTATGCCAACTATGGGAAACTAAATCACCCCTTGCAGATGCTGTTCCTGGTGCCCTTCTCCTTCTATGCTGCACTTTCCAGCTTTGTCCTGACTATCATCATTTCCTTGGGAATGAATAGAAAGCTCCATTTTCTCAAGGACCTCTGTTTCTGTGCAGATCAGGCAGGCTCATGTAATGCACAGTCTGGGCTTACTGTTGCTGTCAGTGTTTTTTGGCTAGCTGAACTCAATTTTTTTTCCCACAACCTATGACAGATGAAACAACCCTATCTAATTGAAAGGGCAGACAGTGAGATTGGTCTTAATTTGTGTTTCTTTCCAGACCCTCTGAACTTGAACATTACTCTGGTTTCCACTTCAATATCTTTAGCCTTAGTGACTCACTCCTGGCTACATCTCGTAGCATTTTTCTTTACCTCTTTATCTTACATGTTAAGATTTTGAGTTCACCTTACTCAAAGATGAGTACTCATTCTGAGTGACATAACTGGGACACCTTGGGTGTCTCATAGAAGTGACTTTACATACAACGAAGACAGCAAGTTTGGGAGTTGAAAATGTCAGTCTTTCATCTGTTGAGCAGTTTCCAAAACACTTGGGAAATAGCTTTCTAAGGATTTTTCAGGAAATCATATTTGATTGCTTGTCTGAGGATGAAAGAAATTCCTTGGATGGTACAGTGACGTTCACTGTGCCTCTGACAGCTTGAAAACTTCTGTTCCTGTTGTGCGCGTGGCTTGTATTCTCCAGCTTGCCAGCAATTCCGTTATACCTGAAGTTGTTTGGTGCCTTTTTACTGTGCTGACGGATATGTGCCTACAGGTCCTGTAACGTAATGAAACTGTAGAAGCAGAAACATAAGCATGTCTATGTATCTTTGCGTCACAGCATCGTGTGGGTGGAAGGTGGAGTAAGTAGATGGGTCAGTAGGAAGAAAGAACACGTTTTTTAATCACAAAGCAGCCAGGCCTGTTCTCTTGGTTTCTTTTCCTGACTATGGCTGTATTTCTTGTGTTTGATTGATTGACTCCTTGTCACATTTGCTCAAACACAGTCATGTTCTCTAGGGACTGCAGGTCCCATTACTAGAGAAGGATAAGACTTGGTATACTGTGTTTTTAAGAATCTGTGCATTTGGAGCTGGAGAGCCTATATTTTTATTCCTGGTTCCTAGGTGATGCAGCCATGAGGGATCTGCAGGGAACTCATTCAAGCACCTATGGAAAATAATATTATTCTAATGATTGTAACCATTACTTGTTCTAATTAAACAACCTCAATGTGAACACTTTGCATCCTGCCTTCTGGTAAAGATGCCTTGTAACTGACAGTTATGTATTAGTGCAATTGCTGTGCATTCACTAATGTTTGTATCTTGGTTTTTTCCTCTGCTATTCCCTGGAGGGAAATTCTCACCTTGCAATTTGATTACAGATTAAAAACATGCTAATACATTTCTGCAGAATATGACTGCTCCTTGGTAAGACATTATATAGGTGTGATGTTGACTTTATTCCCCTTTGCAAAGGCTGGTCTGTGATTCCTGTAACCCATGTATACATCTTCAAGGACCTCTGTACCATTTCCTCGTACAGCATTTCAAGGAATGCCTTGTTTCTGTTTCCACATACACATCATTTGATCACAAAAACTCCCAAGCTTCACATAAATTACTTTATTACAAACTGAAAATATATCTTCATCAAATTATAGCAACACATATATACAGAGTTCTAACCACTAGTCCAAATCCTAGTCCTTTGTACAGGGTCATGTGGGCTTCTGGCTTGGGAAAGAATAAAACCTTTACTTTAAGAAGGAGGAAAATAACTATATTTCAGATGTATTTCAAACACGAAGTCAAAGCAGCAGTGCAGCAGACAGATGATTTAGAATTTTCAGCTTTGCTCACAAGATAACTTCCAAAATGAAAAGTGCAGATGAGTTGGTAATTGCTGCGGCTGTTGTTCATGCAAAGTGTACAGCCACCTTACTCTGTCTGTGGTGTTAACAACTGAATATGTGGAAGGATTACTGCAGCTGATTAATCTGATAAGTTGGCCTGCTGTGTAATGAATATTAGGTTGGGAGAAGCATTTTCTGTGCTGCAAAGGTAAAATATTCTAGGTAAGTCACCATTAAGACATCGGCATTCTTTCATGCACCTGGGAAAGGAATACTAATTAACAGCCTCTAATACTGTCTACAGTCAGTCACTTTCAAAACGTCTTAATTTTCTTCCTAATCAGTATTGCTATTCTGACTTTTCTGTTGTCCTATTAAAACCCATTATATCTTTCCTTTAGAAATTCTAAAATCCAGCTTCTCCTGTAACAAAAGCAGTCTTTATTATCAAGCTTACCTGCTCCCTGAAGAATTGCAGGAGTATCCCTGCACCTTCTCCAGACCTGTTCTAGACACTTGTATAATCTTTTCATTTTTCATTTTTTAAACAGATGGTTTTCAGTTGTACTAGAAATACAAATCTTGTATCTGCCTTTTTTTAGTTAATGAAATACCTTTTTAGATAAAGCTGCAGATGGTGACTGATCATGATGTACCTGCCTCATGTTACTGTTACTGCTTTCCACCCACCTGTTTATTCTCCTTTTTATTTCAACATTCACTATAAAAAATTAAGCTAAGGAATATATCTTCTATATTATATGTATAATCTAAGTATAAAGTATCTCATAATAGAATTCTTTAGACTCTATTAAAATACAATTTTATACTCAACCCTTTGTCTCCTATTAAAAATTGTTTCTTGCCTGCAGGCAAAATTCTGCAGTCTAGATAAAGCTATTTGATACTCCTAAATCCAAAAACTATGTTTGAGAATTGGGCCCTGTGACTTTCGCTTCTGGTTTTTTTTCTCCTTGTCTGTGTAAAAAAAAATGCTACAGCTCCCTTCCACTCCCATTTCTGGAAGTGGCGCTCTGCCTCTCAAAGGAGGTGTCTCTCATCTTTCTATATAAATCCCTCCAGGGCTCCTGCTTATGAACTTTATCTGGTCATTTGATGTCTGAATATTACATTTTGGTTTGTGTGCTTGACTGCCTCATGTCTGACATGATGGCATGCCAGAACCCCTCTCTACTTATTCCTCCAGGGTAAGTTGATATTGCTTGCCTTGGAGTATTGCAATTAGCTGTATAGTGTATCTGAGTCTGTATCTGAAAATTGGACACATGGATCTTCATCCTGGTCCATCCTCTCTAAGTAAGTCTATACTGAATGCAACGCCAGCTTAATAGATTTTGCCTTTTAATCAAAACTCGCTGTGCTAGCTGAAAATGCACCTCCTTGTATGCTCATGGCCTTTCACAAGAGAATCCTCCAAAAATAATAAAGCTGCTTTTCAGTGAGGAGGCTTTAAGGGGGCATGAGATCAATTTTTTTTCATGAGAGCTGAGTCTTAAATGTCTGCTGCTAAAAGATCAATGTGACCAGAAATTTCAAAATAAATAAAAAATTATTCTCTTGTGACACATCCATTTATTTGTGTATAGACACACTAATAAAGATCTTCAGACAAACCAAAGTATTCTAAAGTGGGAGGGATGACAGAGAAACAATTGCATCCATTTATATATAACCAGGACTGAGGAGATGTTAGATAGTGTGGTATAATTTAGCATCTTACCCAATTTTGCTTTCTTCTTTAGTATCGTCAGGAGCTGAAGCTGAAGTAGCCAAAACTCTGTTGTATTTCCTGTGAGGGAGACACAAGAGCAAAGTAATCCTCATCTAACGGTGATTTACGCTCAGCCAGGTTTCTAATCCTACACCAAACTTGTTTTCTAAAATGAACAGCAAGCAAGAAATGCTGGGGCACCTGACCTGTTGCAGTACACTCTCCAAAATCAGCACTATGAATCAAACGTGAGTTCACTTCACTATGGAATTCTGTATTTTGTGGCAAAATCATTACAATTAAAAGGGAATGAGGAAAACAGTCAAAAGTTTTTTTTAAAAAACTGGGTTTAATCATAAGTCAACTTAAAAAGAAGTGTTTGCATTCCATTCCTGGAGCTTTCATACTCTACAGCTTTATGTGTGCTCTTGTATGTTGGCAAGTACTGATAAAAGGAGTTAAATCCATGCATAAAAGCTGATGGATGAATTGTTTAATTACACATTTCTTACTTCCACTGCAATGACCTTAATAAAATTCGCTAGAATTCTATTAATGTAACTTTTGCTAAAAAAAAAAAAAAAAAATTTAATTTTTTAAAAATTAAATAAAGCCTTTTAACACAGAGAAGCTGATATTCCACCCTAAGCATTAGGTCTCCCCAAACTACATTAAAAATCATAGCATTTGAGATTTCTCTTTGGGCCCCTCTTATGCCCCAGTTCACTGCTTTTAATATATTTAATGCTGATTGTACTTTGAATTTCCAGTGTAAGCTAGATTTTAAAGTCATGCTTCCAAGTTTCTTATGCAGACAGCCAGAGTAAGTACACTTCTAATAATCTGGTATTTTAATACTGGCAGATTGCTTTACAGTACTCTTATTAAAAGGAAATATATGTGAGGAGTGCTACTGTCACAATATACATTATTTACTTGTTTGGTAAAGATGGATAGGGATTCATTAATGACTGAAAAAAATTAATCCCACTGCAATGAGCAGTTAATTCCCCTCACTCCTCTCTTCCTCAGCACTATCAAAATTTACTTCCGCTTGCTTTTCTTTTGATACTACACAAAAAGATCTAACAGTATAGTCTGGTGCATGTCCAAAATTAGTATATAGTATATGAAGTTTTTCAAAAGGTTAAATCATCTTTTTCAAAGAGTTAAAGTATCTCACACCAAGCCACACAGTTAGTTAGATCCTTATGTTAGATTCAGAGTTTCCTGGAATCCCCTGAGCTGGAGTTATCAGCTCAGCTCCTCTAACAGGGAAAGTTCAGCATTCAGCTACTGAAGAAACAGAATATTACCGTGGATTGGTGCCATTCATTTTGGCAAAAAGCAATCGCAGAACACGTTCTTTTTGTTCCCATGTCAACTCACTGATATCCACTTTTTCAAACTGGATTTTTTCCCTGAAAAACACAGAAAACAATGTATTAGAAGAAAATTTCAAAGGCATATCTCATGGATTCTGTATGTGTAAAACAGGTTTTAAATTCTAGCTCTGCATTGCTCTTGTTCAGCTATTCATAGCATGTAAATTCAAAAAATAAATCTGAGCACACAGTGCTGTCTTTTTGACTTCTAAATCTATGGCTCAACTAAGTAGAACAAACCCAATGATTTCTGTTACACATGTAGTGGTTATAAATACTGGGAGGGGGAAGGTTAGTACTAACGTGTATTAGTTTCTTGCTTCTGTTCATACATAAAAGGGTCAATACGTATAACCAAATTTAATTCTCGGTTCCAGTCTGCCCCTTCTCTTGCTCCAAGGGGAAGCTTCCTTAGATCTCAATAACTACTTTTACCTCTGATTTTTCATGAAGTGTTTCTGCTGTATCATTTTTGAGATAAGGTAACCTGAACTGAAGAAAGCATTCTGACAGATTGTGTGTCGCCAAGTTATTCAATAGCCAATGCATACCAAGCAAACGTTTTATTTGGGAGTACGATAATTTTGATCTCTCACTAAGGATGTACGCAAGCTTCAGCTATGGGGGACCTTAACTCTATGGCTTAAAATCCCAGTGCCTGGACACTGCTGCAGTTTGTAGGCACAGATTTCTAGCAGGAGGTTGGAGACCTGTAATCCTGGCCACCGCGGCATATGTAGCCCTAATTTAAACTAAGTTGCATTCTAATACAAATTCTGAGATACTCAGGCTTATAAGTCTGAGATTTTGTTTTATTCACTATAAAATGTAATCTTGTCAATCGGTACTGTACTGCACTGCATGGGATCTTGTTTTTGATATGTCAGTGTCTATTTCATGTAATGGCTTAAATTTTAGATTATTATGAAGCTTGAGGAAAACAGCCCTTGAAAACACAGTGCAAAGCAGGGCCTTCTGACATACGGAAGAACAGTTGAAAAAAGACTGGATTTGCCATCTACTGGATGTTTCTGTTAAAATGATCAGCAACATAGTAAAGAGCTGTTTGCATCTTAACTGTAATTTTTAGGCTTCAGTGTTATTAGCTCACTGGAGTGAGTAAAAAGCAAAAGAGCAATGCCAGAAGAGCAATGCCTATAAAACCAAAAATTATTAGAGAACCAACAACAATTATTAAAAGGAAACTGCAGAACCACATCTATACTGGAAGTTCTATATCAAATTCGACAGCACATGGCAGAATATGCAAAGAACTCTTTCGAGCTTATCTTTAATCCATAGAAATAATGACCAAAAAACGATAGCCTAGTTGAAATTAGGTGCCCACAAAGTCATTACTAATTGATGGGATATTATACCTCATACAGTTAGTCTCACTACAGAAGCCTCTGCAAGCATTCCAAATCTAGACAATATTATCACGCAAAGGGTATTTTCAGGTGTGCTAGGAAGATAGACATTAGGTTTTGATGTTTCAATACCAGTAGCATTTCTCTGCTTCCTCTAGGTCTCTGTAC